GAGGAGGAGGAGGAGGGGCAGGAGGAGGAGGAGGAGGAGGAGGACGAGGAGGAGGAGGAGGATGAGGTGGAATGGGAGGAGGAGGAGGACGACGACGACCAGGAGGAGGAGGATGTGGCGGAGGACTGGGAGGACACATCAGACCGCACGGCCCCAAGGGCAGCCCGTCCTGCAACCCAAGAACGGCTCCAGGCCGACCTGCCCGCGAGGCCCCCCCAGGCAGACCGCAGTGCCAGGGGCAGCCTGCGCGGCCAGAGCGGCCTGGCCTGGCCTGTACCCCAACAAGGCCGGGGCCGACCTGCGTGGCCACGGCAGACCCTGAGACCCGACGCCTCGAAGACGTTGAAACCCAGGCCTCCTAGATGGGATCCGAGTAGACGGGGTCGGAGGATCGGGCCGCATCGCCGATGCATCGCCGATGCATCGGGGATGCATCGTTGATGCGGCTCGATGTGGAGCCCGATTTGCTTCACGCCGACGGCGCCGATGCATCGCCCGCGTCGCCGATGCATCGCCAGTGCATCGCCGATGCATCCCCGCTGTATTGGCGATGCGGCGCGATCCCCCGACCCGATCTACTCTGACTCCATCTAGGAGACATCTATGAAGCCTCGTGAAAAATCAGTCGGATTCGGGCGAATGGGTCCTTTGCAGAGGGGGTCTTGAAACCGGACGCCATCGTACGTGCAGTCGTTCGCGCGGGACACGCACGTCATACAATACCAGCACGTGGCTGCCACACGCCGTTTGCCACAAGATGAACTGGGGCATGTGTTTTTTTTTTGTGTGACCCCCTTACGAAAGACACCCTACTTGCCCGGAATCGTTCACGACCGGAGCCCTGGAGAACCGAGCTTTTTTCGAGCCGGCTCGAGCTGGCTCGAGATGGTCTTTTCGAGCTGGCTCGAGCTGTGAGGGTCCCGTGGCCCGAGACTGGACGAACATAGCCCAGATCGAACAAATTCAGGAGGGGAAAACACACACACACACACTGACACGATGAAGCGTCGACTCCCAGGAAGTCGCGGGAAAGCATGGGAAGTGGGGGGAAGACGGAGACCCAGAAGATGGGGGAACAAAAAGGGAATCCTGGGACTCGTGTCTCTTTACTTGTGTGTCCCTGGGCCGCAGGAGGCTGGAGGAGGAGGAGGAGGTCGGAGGAGGAGGAGGAGGAGGAGGAGGAGGGGACGAGGAGGAGGAGGCAGGGGGAGGAGTTTGTTTTTTTTTTTTCTTTGAGGAGGAGGAGGAGGAGGAGGAGGAGGAGGGAGTAGAGGAGGACGAGGATGATGATGATGATGAGGAGGAGGAGGAGGAGGAGGATGAGGAGGACGAGGATGAGGAGGAGGACTGGGAGGACTGGGCCCCTTGACAGGTTGAGGCGCGCCAGGATCCCAGTGGGCTGCTCGGCCCGCCGTCCGCGGGAGGTCCCCGTGCTCTTCTCGGGGCGCCGGGGCGGCGCCGTCCGTGGGAGTCGCGGGCGGCCGGGCCTCGCGCGGGACGCGGGCAGCATACGGGGGGCCGCTGCCCCGGCAGAGGGTGGAGGGCGGAGGGAGGAAGCACCAATGGAGGCGGCGGGAGGGAGAGAGAGAGAGAGAGAGAAAAAGAGAGAAAGAGAGAGCGAGAGATGAGGAACATTGACAGTAAGAGAGAGAGAGAGAGAGAGCGAACAAACAAAGCAGAGAAAGAGATAACGACATACTGAGAGAGGGAGAGCGAGAGAGGGAGGGAGGGAGGGCGGGAGGAGGAGGATGAGGAGGAGGAGGGCGTAGGGGGAGGAGGAGCAGGAGGAGGAGGAGGAGGACGAGGAGGACGAGGAGGAGGATGATGAGGAGGAGGAGGAGGAGGAGGAGGGGGAGGAGGAGGAGGAGGAGGAGGAGGAGGCAGAGGAGGAGGCACAGCCATCTTCTTCTCGTGCGAAGCTGAGGCGGGGGCTCCTTTTTTCGCGCCAGATTGGCTGGCCAGCAGAGTTCTTCTTCACCAAACGTATTTGGACGCGCCACATCGCACCATGGGCTGGGAATTTGGACGGAAACCGCTTGCCGGCGCCAGCAGAATCGGCGGCGGCGCTGGTGACCCAGATGAGGCCAGTCCCAGCGGCGGCGGCCGTCGCCGCCCTCCAACGAGTGCGGCAGCACGATAAGCGCGCGGAGGATCTTGACGGCCAGCTCTCGCCAAGGAAAATCGCGCCAAGGTCGCCCGCGAGCTGCGCGAGGCGCGCCAAAAGTTCGAGGTGGCTAGCAGCCAGGCCACAGCACAACGGAAGCCCACCCCAGTCGACCAGACGGATGTGGAGCCACCCGCCCCAGCAGCGGCGGCGCCCGCGGCAGGCGCCACGGCCGCGGCCAGAGCCCCGGCGACGCCACCAGGGTTGCGCGCAGCCATCAGCGAGCTCCAGGGCGCCGGCGCGGAGCAGGCCAACGCCTTCGTCAAAGTGCTGCGCGCGGCGGCCAGGGCGGGCGAGGCGGCAGGGGCACCCGAGCGGCCGCCAGCAGGTCGGCCGCGCGCCCCAGCAGGCGGCGGCAGTGGCAGTGGCCCCGCCGCGGGGGGCGGCGCCGCGCAGCGGGGCAGGAGCGGCGAGGCCCATGCTGTTTCTTCGCGGCGCAGCCGCAGCGAGCCCAGAGTCCGCGGGGGGGCTGCAGGCGACGGCGCGAAGGAGAAAGAGGACCTCTAGCGCGCATGCTGGGCGAGATCTCTCGCTCAGCACCCCCCGCGCTGGCTGCGTTGCTTTCCCTTCCCTTCCTCCTCGTCTCTCTCTCCCTCTCTCCCTGTCTCTCCTGCTCTTCCCTTTCGTGTGCTGCTGTGCGTTGCATGTTTTATATGAGCGGCCGCTTGGGCTGCATTGGAACGTCGCACAGCGCCCGTGCCCCTTCCTCTTCCTCGTCCCCCTCCCAATCGTCCTCCTCCTTTGTTTTGTGCGGCCTGCGTTCGCGCGCTCGCGTCACGGGGGCCATTGGTCGGAAGGCCCCGCTCTGAGGGGGCCCGGGCCTCAAGGGCGCCGCGCCCTC